ATTGCCTTGTTGTTGCTTATCTTGTCTCCTTCCCACTTTCAATGCTCTTCCAAAACTTAGCTTGATACATTTGTGATCACTAACCAGACTTGTGGAGCCACATTCATCTATGTGCATTCCCCTGAGCCTATCATACATCCTATGTGACATCAGTGCACAATCTATCGTCAACTGCAGCCTTCCTACCTCCCATGTTGTTTGCTCTTCACGCTTCCCAGTACTGTTGCAAATCATGATCATTTTTAATGTTGGGTCAGTATAGTCTTCTATATCTTGTATGTGCACATTCATATGGCCTAGTATAACTATCTCGCACTCTCCTCCCAATTCCTCAATGTCAATCGTTATACACCCTACCATTGCCTGGTTTTCCTCTCTGGCCTTTGCTCCTGTCCACAAGTACATTAAACCAAATGTGTCATCTGCCCAGCTACTTTCCCTTTGAAACATAAATGTTCCGTGCATCCCTGCTTGACTTTTTGCCAACACATACTTTTATGTACAAATGCCCCAATTCCACCTGCCTTTTTGCTGCCTTCTGTTCTATTGCAATATTCCCATACGTAGCCGGGATGGCAAGGTTGTTTGCTACATGTCCGGAAGATGTGTCTCCACAACCCCATATACCATCAGCTCCTCCTGCCTTAACTGCTGTTCTATCTCTTCCCACTTCAACCTATTCCTGCCACCCATATAGCCTAGGTCCCATTTAGCTCGGCCTTTATGCTCAAGTCGTCCATTTCTTTTTCCACGGATCCCACGTGGCTTGAATATTGGTGTCTCTGTAGAATTGTCTTGGGCTCCACTGTTGGCCTCAGGGCTCTGGGGAAGAACATATAATGACTAAGATGTTCTGTGTAATTTGTTTTTGTACTGTTCCAAATATGTTTTCGAAGGCAGTTGTGTAATAATGGTGCAAAAAATTAGAAACGACCCCTGCATGACAGGATTGAACACACATACATGGCAGTGGCATGACATGTTGCTATTTTGCGACATGATCGTAAAACCTCCGAGCAAGTGCCTCTTACTCGAGCATGCGGCCAACTCAACTTTCCGAGACATCAGAAATATGCCTCCTCCATTTCCGCCATTTTCACTGTTCTTATTCGCCCGATGAGGACAAGTGAAAACGGGAAAAACCTCCATGTTCTAATGATTGTCCAACATGCAAGAAAAAGGAATAACCGCCGTGCTGAAATGGCAGCATAAGATCCTAGCGCTGGTGGCGACACACAGCGGCACGTGTACCAAGTATACCTATGCATTCTTTTCAAGCATCCTCCTTTGTGCTGCAGGGGCATGCTGAAATCATCGAGGTGCTTGTCGTTATTCCTGTGAGATTCGGATTGCTTGCAATCGCATTAGTTGCTTCGCCCTAGCAGCGAAACTGCTTTTTTTTTTTTTTCGGAAATGCCACCTATAGTTACCTTTCGACCTCTCTCTGAAACCAGAAGAGCTTGATCAAAGCTAGTGAATGTATCGAGATAATGCAGCTCTAATTTCGCACCAGCTACACAGGTACTTTACACACGTGCACTTGCTGTACATCGACACGCCACCAAAATTAAAAGTGACTCTAGAAAAAATGTACACAGACCACCTAGAATGCTGCAGCTCGGCCGTTCAAGCTCGACACACCGGAACCCTTTGTCAATATCCGATTTTGAGTGATATAGCCAAGAAAATAAATACTGCACCAATCGCAGAACCATGCTCGCTATACCAGATTTCATTGCTGACAACAGTTGGGAATTCTCATCGCAAAGGCCATGCCTTCCCTTGCAAAAAAAAACCGGCATGTACAATGGGTTTTGACCATGCTTATTATAGCACTTACGCTGTGGTTCTTGTAAACAGACATGAGTCAAGTTCTTTTTTTTTTCTCGCAATATATGGGTTGACTTGCCTTTGAAGAATAAAATTGGAATAGAGCACAATACAACACATTCATGCTTGACTTGTAGACCATCTTCCTGGCCCTTTCAGTTTCCCTTTAGCAAGCCGCAATCTCAACACAGCCAAGTATGTGCAGTGCTCATAATTCAAACAAGACATTTTAGTCACTGCTGGTATGCTCAGCAGCTCAAGATAACCACGTCATGTTGCACTGAGTTCGGTCTAGGGTTCGTACAGGTTTTCAAACCGAAAAATCAAGGATATTCAAGACTTTCCAGGACCTGTTGCAACTTCTTTAAGGACTCAAAGCAGGCATGCTATGTGGGAATTTATCACCCTCAAATTTTCGAATTAACAAATTTTATTGCACTTATTAAAAATATATTATTATCACAATTAAAACAAAAAAATCTAGTCGAGACTTCTTCCACCTCCTCCCCCCTCAATCTCCATGCATTACGAGCAGCCACCGCAGGTAGCCGTCGGCCTGGGGCATGTCGTTTGGCATGAAGAAAAATGGTGGAAGAGCCAGGCCGTCCGAGGAAGGTCGGAGATGGGCCATCAGGTCTCACACAACCGCCCGGCAGTCAGGCGTAGCCAGCTCGAAAGCCAGTGATGGGGATCCCGTGAGTGTCTTCGCCTGGAAACAGGAAAAAAACAGAATGACAAAAAGGGTTATAAAGTGAAACGGTGATTATAGACACACAAATTTTCTATGAAAACTTTAGCGTCATTGATTTCACCACCATAAGTTTACGAGCAAGCGAAAAAATAAAAATTATCAGATTTCCCAGCGTGGTCTTGGAGTGGTGATGTGAGATACCAGGCTTTTTTTTCTTTTTGCATTGGTCAAGAAAATTTCCGAAATTTCATTCGTTCTCTGGGCCCCTGACAAAAAAACGTACTTCATTTAGCAGACACTATCAAAATTTAATGACACAGCGACTAGTGTAGGGACTTGAAATATTGAAGAGGTTCAAACTGGGCTAGTTGGTATGAATGCATAATATAATAAGAAAAAAAAACGACGTTCAAGCACAGGTTATGTGCACTAATTTTTCAATCTGCTGTCGGAGCTTGTCTTGGTGGTTCTTACTTCAGTATATATTTTTTTTTCTGCGCTGTTCATTATCACGACCTCAAGTTGACACCACCTGTATTTTGCAATCGTCAAGCATCTTCTCACAGGCATGCACGGTGTCTTCAGTAATTTACAACTAGAAAGAAACATTTGTTTTTCCCTTCAGTGTCCTTATAAGGTCAAGAAGTGGGCAACAATGTGAAGAAACCAAGCGGCAACATCACCAGCTCAAGGTTCATGCTTGTTTACATGAAAAAACTCAAGGGTTTTCAAGGACTTTCAAGGCTATGTGTACCAACTTTCGAGGACCACACTGTCTGTTAAAAACCCAATCACACACTTTCAGGGGAGGACAAAGGCTTCAAGTAACTATAATTCCTGAAAAAAGCGCAACATCAATGGACCAGACGTCAAAAACGTGGCTCCAGTGACACTTTACTTTCAGACAACTTTCAATCATAGTTTCTTAAACTGCATAGGTAATCTCGTTCAGTCTGACACAAATTGCAAACATTTATTCAGATAGGAAAAACTAAGGAACAGTTATTATGCAACATCTTGTTGCTTTTTCTGAATTTTCATATCAATATAACTATCTCCCGCTGCTTGGTCTTGGCACTCATCCTAAGGATGTTTGACTTGATGATGCCCGTCAGGTCGCCGATTCTCCACACTTTTTCTGCATACGAGTCTGCTGTAGCTGATAATTACTTAACAACGGCTTCAAGCTTTTTTTTTTTTCTTTTTAACACGAAAATGCCAGGGTCTCCGCTGGCATACTTCAGTCACGGAAGTGGCGTTGAAAATATATACTAAGAGATTGCAAAAAAAAAAACCAGAAGGCAAGCATCTGTCACGCAGAATCCAACCAGTAACCTCTAGGTTTTCAGCGCGCGGCGCTAACCACTACACCACTGAGCGTGCCTTGCCTAGAGTGCTAACCTCATACACCGTTCGGTTGCCTTCAGCGCTTCAAATCTTTAGCGCATTTTCTTCATCAGTGGCGAGACGGCACAATGGGCTCTCGTTGGGCGCGCTATGAAGGTCGTCAGCTCCATAAAACCCTGCCTACAAGGAGAGAGAGTGGTCTCTCCTGCGCGAGCGCTTCATCGGACTTGTCATTAGGGAAAGGACAAAGGTCACTTCGCATGCTGCTAAGGCCGCTTTTACGAAAGGAGCACGCTGCTGACACGAGATCCAGGAATTATATTGCGACGGTTGTTCGCGCTTGTCCTGCGTATACTTGTGCTCCTTTACGTGCGCTTTCTTTCTGCTTGATCGTGTGTTTTTCTTTCTGTTTGAACAGCGCGCTCTAAGTTTCGAGCGTGACAGTTGTTAGTCTGCGCTCGTTCTGCATATGCTGAATTTCGTGCGTTATTTCTGCTTGAGGTATGTGCTGCAAGTTTCGAGCTGCTTGCCATTCCTAACATAACTTTGCAATTTATTGCTGTTGCTGAAGCAATGCACAATAAATGCCTAACTACCTCTGTAAGGACACCTTTGACTTTCGTGTTATACCGATTCCTTAAGTAGGGGTATCAGCCACGTTATTTTATAGATATTCCGACCTCCTCCTGGATGCAACATTTTTTTCTCTCTTTTTCATCTTCCTGCTCCTATTTTTTCCGAGTTTCCGGAAATGCACGTAGTTGGTTCCATGCAGAATATATTTATTTTTAAATTTTTATGTGATGGCCACCGACTAAATTTACGGCATTACAAGTAATGGGCCATGAAGTATGCGACAATGTCTTTAAAAAATTCGAAACTCTAACTTGAAGATTCTGAACTTCTAACTTGAAGGGAGCAACTCTTTGTCTGCCATATCAGCTGGGTTTCCACGGAAGTTCAAAGAGGAGGAGAGGACGAGGAAGTAGCATCTAGGCCTTTCGCTTTCAAAGTGTTCTTGGTGATATTTTGGTTGCACCAAATCATCTACGCAAATACAATTCAGCCTCTGCATTGCCTCATTCTTGATAAGACAACTATGGATAGCACCCACCAGGGCTTCATCAACCTACCGAAATGAAACACTTTCTTGTTGCTATATATCATAAGCAAGTACTTGTGCATCCTTTGTAATTTTTTTTCCTCGCAATTCCAAATCAATGTACTCGAAGATGATTTGAGAAATATTCAAATTAGGAATCCTTTTCAATTTTTCCCTGCAATTTCACATTAAACTATCCGAAAAAGATTTTAGAAATATACAAGAAATATGTTTTAAACATTCCATTCCATTTGCAGTCACACTTCAACATTCGAATTTGCTTCGCACCCAAAATTTGGTATTCACATAGGTCTAGTGTAATGTTGCCATTGCGATACTGATGTGAAGGGAATGAAAAGACAACTTGCCGCTGGCAGGAATCAAATCTGCAACGTAAGGATTATGCGCTTGATGCTCTTACCAAATGAGCTACGATGGTGGTGGTGCCCTCATCCAATTTGTGCGGTATTTTATGTGCAGGGAAGGAGTGTTAGTACCACTCGCAGCATAGACAGCTTGCGTCATGCGGGACATGATGGAGTAAGCCCTCGCATACAACTACCTGAAGCTTGCCGCAACAAGATTCTCGCTACAAATGAGTGGAAAGGATTTTGAGAGCTCATGTGTTTGTTTAACACAATGTTAGTCAATACTGGCAGAAATCGAAACCAAGAGCAAGAAAGTACACGAGATGTTAATACATTGAAAGCTCATTATAACAAAGTTGCATCTTACATGAAAATAAGTTTGCTATATCAAAAAATCCGTTATAAAGGTCTATTCCTAACACTATATCTATTGCAACTTTTTTTCACTTACTTTGTTATACCTGATTTTTCATTATATATGGGTTCGTTATATCGAGATTTGAGTGTAGTACTTTTTTAAGCTCTTTCAGCGAACTGTGAAAGTGGAAACATGCACAAGAGACGCAGAAGAGCCCCGCAGCCTGATTGCTCACTCGTGCTGTGTTGCTCTTCTCTGTCTGTTGCGTGTTCCTGCCCTCCCAGTTCGCTAAACGAGTACAAACTATGAACTAGGCCACCTTTCTATACTGTTTTAAGTGTACCGTAGAAATTCTGACAGAGACATAAACAAAGTAAAGGTGTTATTGTGTCATAGAAGGAGCAACGAACTCGTACCTGAAGATATTTTGTCACCGGGCCAAACCAGACAACACCGGGCCACTCTATAGTGCAGTGATAAATCGCCTCCTCGTGAAAGTACATGACTGCTTTACGGTACACCTCACTGAAGGAAAATGTCGCATCGGCATCCACCAGCGGAGTCTGCTCGCTGAAGAATGTCCGATAGGCATTCAGGAACTTGTCGTGGCCTTCTCTGCCATCTGGTGGGATCCACAAGAGTTGGAGCTTCAGCTGATGGTAGCTGGTAGGCATGCTGCATAGCATCAAAGATTTTTTAAAACAACGGCGGGACCGTCTTATGGTCAGTTTCGACAAGTTGCAGTTATTTAAAGTGCACCAAATGGGCTGAACATGAGTATCTGTATTCGACTCGCAATTCCACTGCAATAAGGTGTAGGAAAAGCAGTGTCATGCTTCGAAGCAGACTACTATCACCCCTGAGCTAACATTTCCTTCACTAATAGTTTCGAGTCATTGAAAATCGTGCCCAATGCACAAGGTAGCAAGAAGCTAGCACTGAGTAAAATTGTCTGGCTTTGTTTACGTTCAATAAGGGCATCAACCTTGACACATGAGCCTAGACATGAACCTAAAAAGTTCCTCTTTAACATTACCCAATATTATGTATCTTAATGGAGATGACATTATTACAATAAATCCTGGACTTCACAATTCAATAAGTATGGGTGAATGGGCCTTGAAAGTTGCTACTTAACGTTACCAAAATCTTACGCGGCTGACTACTGATGACATTACTGTAATACATCAGAGATTGAACAATTCAATCAGTGGGCATGAACCTTGAAAGTTGTTACTTAATAACATTGCCTACATCTACTAATCTGATTGGTGACAATGTTATTAGTATATGTCCTGGATTGAACCCGTGACCAAGCTTGGCATCGCTATACTTTAGCTGCTACCAAGCTACCGTGACATCAGGTTCCATTTCAGCACAATCTAGCCAATACAAGATGACATGGAAAACAAATCTTTTGCAGATTCCACGACAACTCGGGAAGGCCAGCATAAAAACTGACTAAGAATGAAAAGCTGCGAATTCGTGAAATGTCCAAAGCTCTAGCAAAAACCGATTGCAACTCTGTTTATTTTTTTATATGCACATTGCTCCTACTTGCTCTATTTGTGGGACGACGATTAGGCTGTCGGCGAAGCTTGAATTGCTTCTCAACTGACCTGATGGCAAAAAAGAAAGCTTTAGCTTTGCACACGAAATGCAGTCAAGATTTGATTATTCTTCACATGCTTTACACAGCCTAGAAATAGTACAAGGTGAAACTGTAGAGCCGTGAAACATTACTACTGACAAAAAACTTTAGCGAACTTACAACCACAAACAAGTCCCAGAACATGCACGGCGCTTCAGTATTTACCGATTTCACCATACCGCCCTATCTGTACAACTAAATGAAACTCGAATGTACTATTGTATATTTACTTCAAAAGGCAATAAAAATTCATGTCATGCCTTCTATATGCCTTCAAATCGTTACTGGAATGTAATTTATATTCCCACTGAATACCGCATCAATGTAAAAGTAATCATTTTGGTGTCTGATGTGCTGCGATTCAAGTGTGGCACACAAGCCCGGCAATGCTACCTTCCATCACCTGTCTTAATAAAGTAAGTGACCACAAAGTAATTCATGCCACTTTTGCTCTAACCCAGGCTGTGCATCAGTCACATAAGAAAATCATTCGTCTCTACGATAAAGGAAATTAGTTAGCCATCAACAATGAATTTGAACAATTGTACGAGGAATACGAAGCAACATTTCAAGAGAGCGACATTCATGAAAGCTGGTCTCTAAACTGTCATCATTTGCTGGTTTCGATGAAATCACATCAAGTTTCTGAAGAACACCAAATTCATTTCTGCGGCATATCTAATGCTGTTGTTTACCCAGTCACTGTCATCTGGAAACCTACCAAAAGAGTGGAAAAAGGCTAAGGTTGTTCAAGTCTACAAATCAGCCAACAAGAGTTCACCCCTAAACTACCGCCCCATTTCCATCATATCAGTGCCTTGTACGATCAAGGAGCATGTCACATATGCTCTTATATTTCGCTTCCTTGATTTTAAACTTTTTTTCGCCATTCTCAGCATGGGCTCCACAAGGGACTGTCTTTCAAAACGCAATCAGCTGCATTTCTCTACGACTTCCACCTAAATCTAGACGCTAACATTCAAACTGACGCAATTTTTCTTAATTTTGCAAAATCATTCCACAAAGTTGCTCATCAACGCTTACTACTAAAACTCTCCCAACTAAATCTACAACCCACAGTTATAACATGGATTGAGCAGTTCCCCACTAACCGCCTGCAGTCAGTGCGCATCAATAACTCTGAGCCTTTTTCAGTATGATTCGGCGTCCTTCAACGTTCTGTATTAGGCCCCCTACTCTTTCTAATATATATTATTGCCTTATCATTGCATCTTACTAGCAAACTCCACATGTTTGCAGATGACTGCATTATTTATCTTTCAGTTGTTAACATTAATAACCAGCCTACTTTTCGACAGGACTTGTACAACATTAAGGACTAGTGTCAATGCTGGTTAATGGTTTTGAATACTGGTAAATGCAAAACAGTGTCATTTTCTTGCAGTTCTAACCCATTGAAATTTAAATATGTAATAGCAAATCAGCAACTAGAGGCCGTATGCCGATGTAAAGACTTGGGTGTGATATCAAATAATTTCAACGGGTGTGTGCATGTGACCAACGTTATTGCACCATCTAACAAAAAAATTTGGGTTTTTACGACTCAAATTAGAAAACTCTTGGCAGCATGTCAAATTAATAGCTTAAAAAACACTAATACGGCCCAAATGCATCAGCCACTTGGAACCCTTGCCAAATTTTCCTCACAAACGCCCTTAAGGCCTTTGAGAATCGTTGCCATTAGTTTCATTCATTTCGCCTCTTCATACAATTTCAGAGTGACATCTTTCAAAGCGGAATCAGGCTTACTAACAATTTATCATCGACGCCTCATTGCTAGTTTATCATTAATTCATAAGTTCTTCCACAGCGCGCTACAACAACCACCGTATATTTCGTCACCATCACACACATCCTATCACATTGGTCACCCCTTAAATGTTGCCTGTCCTCATGCTCGCACAGTCACCTCCGCCTCTTCATCTTTTCCTCGAGCAGGGAAGGACTGGAACGACCTTGCACAAGACATTGCCAACTCGAGCCCTCGTCGCAAGACGATGCATGCGGCGCTACATGCTGAGCAACTCGTCGCGTGATGAAATGAATGAGACGAGTAAAAAAAAAAGAGCAAGATAGCGTGTTGACTCACTGCAATGCTACGCCCATCAGACGTGAAGCTGTTCTCAAGGATCCCACTTGCTTTTCCTTGTAACGATTCGCCATGAACTCGTAATGGGCTTTCTCCTCTTCCGTCAACGACTGCAAAGTTGGAGGTCTGTTAGAGCTCATAGAAGTAGAACCGACATCACTGAACGGTGGAGCACCATTCAAGGCATTAACATCAGACAACTTCCAAAATCGTACGGAAAGTAGGAAGACCTACAGCAACGCATAACGAGCGTGGAACCTCAGCGTCCACGTTACGAAACTGCTCGTGACAGAAAACAACGCGGCTAAGCTCGCGCCAAGAGCAACGTCGCGGACAATGCCGTTCTGTTTGACGCGCAATGAACAAACCCTTCGTGTGAACAATGCCATCGGCAAGACATATAGAAAACGCGAAATCCGCAGGTATACAAAGAGAAAAGTGCCGGCATACCTTCCACATCTTTCCAGCCTCTGCTCGGACTGTTTCTAGGGTGCAAGTGAAGTTGCGTTCTCTACGCTCGTTCTGTAGTTCTCGCAATAAAAAACAGAACGGTCCCATTTTCTTAGGAGCCATAGTGTGATAATAGGTGCACGTGCACCACGAGCTACTGCAGAACGACAGCGCATGGGTAAAGTAAAGAAGAAGAAATTTGACAGGGATCAGCACCTCAAATTTCCATGGAAAGCCCAGTGGAGTTCGTCAAAAAAACTTGAAGTTACAATCTCCAGATTCCGGTGCCGTGTACCCCCATTAAATTTTTATTTACACAGAGGTGGTCTGACACTTCCCCCCCTTTGTACGTTCTGCGAAGAATCAGAAACTATTGAACATTATTTTGGCTCATGTCGTAACTATGCATTAATTAGGAAACAACTACAGCCACATCCATCTATTCATTCATCTATCGTAAACACGGAGGAAGGAAAAAGGTCCTTCCTCCGTGATCGTAAAAGGTCGTCTCACTCACATAACACTAAAAGTAGCAATTTTCAAGGGCCGTTCGCTCCCGCCGTAGCGGTCCACGGCAAGCTTCCGGAAAGTTTTGCTCTGATCGCAGCGGTGGAAACGATTTTTGACTGGGACCCGTCGAAATAGGGTTGGTCCAGCCAAGCCGTTGAAATAGAGTCGACATGTTTGTTTTGGGAAGTGGCGGCGTGGAGCGCTACGCGTTTTGTGGTAGCTCATATTTGTGTGTTATTCAGTCTAGCGACGTTTTTGGTAAGTTTTTTTAGTTTTGTTTTGCCTCTCGGTTATGCCGGTTTTAATGTACCAAACTATGGCGACCCGTTAAAAAGGACAATACTTCCAACATCATCGTCATTATCATCATCGGTTGTTAATACGGTGTATTAGAAAGAAACATTATGCTGACTAATGGGCTGGAGTGGCGCACTTCATGTCGTCGCCGACAGGGAGCGCGGGCGCGCCTCGGAGCATCACGTAAAGCTTTTCGGCGGGTTCACAGGCGCTGTTTTGCGCGTAAGAAAAGTCAAAGTTAAGGGGTGTGTGCGAATTTCTAATGCATGGATGAATGCTCCTCCACATAGCCGCTTCAGTAACAGGTCGTGTAGTTGAAAGCATTTAAGCTTCTTCTTTTGTTATTCACCTGCTAATCGATACGATGCTCAATGCTATTTGGCCACTATAGGATAACAGCGACTTCACTCTCGCAATTCGAGCCCCACTGTTCAAATATAAACAACACCTCATTTTGTAATTTTTTTCCGCTTATTAACTGGTTTAATTGTGATGGACTTAGTTAATGTTATTTTTTGCGAATCATTCATGGGTGGAACCACTTGGCTTTGTTATAAATGTATCCATGTCGTAATCTTAACAAGCTTTTTAATTACAGACGTAAATCACACAAAGTTTTCAAGGCCGGCCGGTCGGCGTGTAGGTGAATATGGTAATAACATATCTAATGAAAAAATATATATGCATGGTTATAATCAGTACATAAGTAATATAAAACACGTGCATACACATATTTTTACTACACTGTAGTAATAAATTGTACCAGTTCTTCAGCAGCGTGAATAAAACAGGACATGAAGAAACACTCGACAGTATCACGTGCTGACAAATTCATTTTAGTTGCACAACATCGTGTCTACATATATGCACGAATGATTGCTATATATATCACAAAATGGATAGAAAAAGCAAAAATTGTCTCTCGTGGAAAGGAGAAACAGACGCAACAAATGTGAATAAACGCCTGCTAATCGACCACAAAAATGGAAAAAAAAGAGAGATATGCAAGAAATATTGCACGTAATTCAAAAACCTATCAGTAATCATCCAAAAGCCGAAGACAGAAACGTCGTCACTATGCAATTCTGATGAAAAATTTATCGATGCGCGCGCTATAGAAGAACCTACGCATCTATAGTTAACCGCCGGAGACAAACTAAAAAATATAGTGAGAACATAAAACTAGGGCGACAGAAACAACGCACACAAAATCACCCAGAAAAGCAAATTTTGCGTCGTAATATAGGTACCTGGTTGGCGCAGTTGTCCGCAACCGAAAGTTAAAATATGAAAAGGCCTATCTCGTATTGTTCTACTAATCAATTTCTCTGGCTTCACCAAAGCACGATTATGGCTTTGCAGTCATTGCCCTCATGTTTTCTTGCTTTTTTGTCGCACCTAACATTGCGGTCACTTCTAGATGGGTCCAGATCTTTTTGTTGTCAAACACTGCCCGAAAATTTCTCTGCACATACGCGGCATGCTTTGTGTGCGTGACCGCCGGAGGCTGGGAAAAAGCGTGTCCTTTCCGTCCAGATGCACCGCCAAGCCGTTTTTGAGACTTCTGCGATTTGAAGATAGAAATAGATGCCAATCCTTTAGAAAAACCAGCATTCACCAGTGCAGCAAAGCGGCTCCTGTGATACCGACAAAGGTCCTTCAAACGAATGAATGGCGTGAAAATGCGCTGCACTGGGCACACACGATAGAAACAGCAACGTCAACTACTTGGCCAGTTTTAAATATATATATATATAATATATATATATATATATATATATATATATATATATATATATATATATATATATATATATATATATATATATATATATATATATATATATATATATAATATATATATATATTCAGACCCCAGACCCCTTATATAGATGAATACACATATTTATCTCTTGCGTCATTGCGGAGGCCCTCTCCTCACCTTCAACCCCGTGTTTAACACCCCCCGAACTGCAGCGTAACCAGCGAAACCCCGGGGACGCGCTTCACACGCAGCAAGACAAGAGAAGAGCACTCCACAGAACACCTACCAGTTTGAGCGCTCCTGGCGGGCGCCCGATTTGTCGACGCGTGGAGGGCTATGGCGGTGCAGCGCAGAAATATGACAGTGAGCCCACTGTTTCCTTCTACAACTATAGTACACTGTAGTTGCTAAGGTAAGTTTCACGCCGCACAACAAACATTACAGTTGCCATGCTGACTTGAAGTCACTTCTGTTCTGAACTGTGCTTGATACGTTGCACTCGCTTCTTGCGCATACATCCCGCTAGAATTAACATTGCTGAAGTTTTCAGTATGTTTAAGAACACATTTCAAAGCGGGTTTTTGTCAATACTTTACAGCATCGGAAGCAAACCACTTCAAATCTGGGATAAGAAGGTAAAATGCGAGCATGCATCGTGTTAAAAGATAACTTTATCGAGATTTTTTTTAAGAGCTTGATTAGTTTCTGTAACCTTCGAACTTCACAGGTTAGAAATGGCCACATCAAAAGGATCACGGACAACGATATCCAGTCTTTCGTGCTCGAAATACTGGGCACAAACGTCAGGTGAGATAGACGACCCATTACATTTAGTTATCTAGCGGCTATACCCCGTATTCAGATTGATTGATATGTGGGGTTTAACGTCTCAAAACCACCATTTGATTATGAGAGACGCCGTAGTGGAGGGCTCCGGAAATTTCGACCACCTGGGGTTCTTTAACGTGCACCCAAATCTGAGCACACGGGCCTACAACATTTTAGCCTCCATCGGAAATGCAGCCGCCGCAGCCGGGATTTGAACCCGCGACCTGCGGGTCAGCAGCCGTGTACCTTAGTCACTAGACCACCGCGGCGTACCCCGTATTCAGAAACGCTGCTTGACTTGAACTTGACTTCCCACAGAATTCAATGCGGCACAAACGCGTTTCGCATTGAAGGCGGTTTCAAGTCAAGTTAGAGTCAAGGAGCGTTTCTGAATACGGGGGTAAGGCACTTGGCTGCTGACCCGGAGCTACCGGAATCGAAACCCGGCCGTGGCGGCCGCATTTTCGATGGAGGCGAAAATGCTTCAGTTTGCTTAAATTTAGGTGCACGTGAAAAAAAAAAAAAAAAAAAAACAGGTTGTCAAGGCGTCTCTCATAATCGTATGGTGGTTGTGGGACGTTAAACTCCAACAAGTATTATTACATTTATTCTCTCATAATCATATGATGGTAGTGGGACGTTAAACCCGAACAAGTATTATTACATTTAGTTATCATTCGCTTCTCGGGTACTAAAGTTCTTTCCGCATAAGCGCACCGATAAAAGCTTAAGCATTGTCTGTCACCTGCTGCTTGCCTTTTACTTTATTGTGCGTTAAATTACAGTCATTTTAATTATGTTATTGTATATGCAGCAACGCATATCAGTGTCACATCTAATCTATTCGGCATATACAAAAGTAAGCTCGGTTCACTATTTTTAACTTTAGTAGCGATAATATATGCATAGAGAATAAAGTGCTCACAGCTAATTATTTATTCATACTCAACATAATTATCCTACTTTTTAAGTTGATTAATGAAGACCTCACCCACAAGTTAATTTTATTGGATTG